ATTTATTGGTTTATCTACATTTTACATTTATTGTTAGTCAGAGTTTAGTCTGATGCAATTTATTCCATTATAGTCAAAAGTGGGAGTTTCTGTGATTAAAGTTTGAGGTTTTGTTGTTGTTGTTTGTCTCTGCCAATCAACAGTGTTGGTAAAGCATTTATTTGTACATGGATCTGGAAGCCATCAGCATATCTGTCTATATCTCTCCGCTTAATTCATTCTGATGTAGCCTGAATAAATTCATTTCAAGAGAAAGGGCTTAAGTATCTCTTTGCATTTAGTTAATGAGGAACATGTGAGGGAAGAACTTAAAATGTTCACATCCTACAATCATATTACTATGTCCTGCTTCATTAAAAGCAGAATGATTCTCTATAGGAAGTAGAGTGGCTCTTGTCTCTCTCAGAGTTTTAGTTCTGCCTTTCCAAATGGGCTTCCTTAATTACCTTTACTGTATAATGGACATTTTCTATATGTTGAAGGGGTCTTAGTGGCAGTCCTGAAGCATATGTGTTCCTCTGAGTTTTCATTCACTGAGGTAACACACTTCAGAAAATGGGATGTGAGTTTTTCAGTACTTCAATACTAATCAGGTTCTTTTGTTAGCAATTTTTTAGTCCTAACTAGTTACTCTACTGTGGGGTTAAATGAACTTTGCCTAAGGAATTCAGTCTTTGTCCTTGATACCTGAAGGATAACTTAAACCCTTGAAATCACTTGAGTAATTAAAGGGGCTTTGTTATGTATAAACCTCCAGACCACACCTGAGAGCTCTTGCAAATTAGGTGGCTCAGGTGTGGGCTGGCCAGGCCACAAGACCATCTTATGATCTCAGAGGAAGTTGGCTGATTCCTCTACCACAACTCTGTAATGAGGCCCCAGTAAAGGCTCTTGACACAGAACCTCCATGAACTTCCTGGTTGGTGAAAGACACTGATGTCCAGAGAAGGGTAGTACCTCTCTTACTGAGACATAAAAGCTTGACATAGGGAATTCTTCCAGACTTTGCACTGTGTCTCTTCATTTGTACACTTTTTGCTATAATTAAACTGTAATCATAATTATAGTGCTCTCTGTGAGTTCCGTAAATCATTCTAGCAAATTATCAAACCAGAGGAAGTAATGTGAGCCAGAAATAAGTGGAGGCTGGAGACCCCTGAGCTGGTACAGTGAGAGGGTCGAGGCAACTCTCTAGTTTGTAGCCAGAAGGGAAGGATGGCAGACCCTAAGCTGTCACTGACATCCTGAAGGAGTAGTGGGAAAACTCCACATTTGTAGCCAACAGGCCAGGAGTGAGGATATTATGAGGACTCCCAAGCTGATATTGTTGTCAGGGGTTTTGGGCAGGCATGGCAGTCTGGAGGAGTGGGCTCTTGAACTTGTGAAGTCTGACCTGACTCTGGGCACTTAGAGTCACAGGAAGTGCTGCATGTGCTGCATGTGTCAGAACAGAATTGGCAAAGAGCTGATTGTGATTTTTTGCACGTACCTTCACTTGTACTTCAAAAGATGTTTAAGTGTTTTGTTTAACAGCTACAGTTCTATACTTGTGTTTACTAATTGCAGCATTTTTTTTTGAAGCCAATGGAATGATAAACCAAAACCAAACCCACTGTCATCAAGTTGCTTTTGTCTCATATAATCCTTATCGAGGTTCTGAGGTGATAAATCTTTGTGAAAGTAGATTGCCCATCTTCCTTCCACTGAGTAGCTGATGGGCTGGAACTGCCAACCTTCTGGTTAGCAGTCAAATGCCTTAAGCACTGTGCCACCAGAGCTCCTTAATGGAATGATACTCTCCTCAAAAAATAACCAAAATTATCCAGCTTTTTTTTTCTTTGTACTTAATAGACTTGGAAATGTTGTTTTAGGTGCCACTGAGTGAGTTGCAACTCATAGCGACCCTTTGTACAACAGAATGAAAGACTGCCCAGTCCTGCACCATCCTCACAATTGTTGCTATACTTGAGCCTATCTTTGCAGCCACTGTGTCAATCAATCTCATTGAAGTCTTCCCCTTTTTCATATATCCCCTAATTTACCAAGCATATTATTCTCCAAGGATTGGTTCCTTCTGATAACATGTGCAAAGTACAAGAGATGAACTCTGGCCATTCTTGCTTCCAAGGAGCATTCTGGCTGTAGTTCCCCCAAGACAAATTTATTTGTTCTTCTAGCAGTTCATAGGACATTCAATATTCTCTGTTAACACTACAACTCAAATGCATCAATTCTTCTGCAGTTTGCTTTATTCATTTTCTAGTGCTCGCAAACATATGAGGCTACTGAAAATACCATGACTTGGGTCAGGGATACCTTAGTTTTCAAAGTGACATCTTTGCTTTTTAACACTTTAAAGAGGACTTTGCAGCAGATTTGCCCAGTGCCAAGTATTTGGAAATAGGAAGTATTGATTCTTTCTAGTACTGGTTCTTGTTTTGATAATTTAAGACATATTACATAGTCGTCATATTTCTGAAAATATATATCCCCCAGAATTCCTTTGCTACAACTATAGTAAAGAGTGATCAAAAATATAAAATATTCTACTTATGGCACAAAATTAAATAAATCAGATATTCAAGCTTTTCCTTCTAAATAACTGAAAGCATACCTTTATTTTATTTTGTAAATCAAATTTCTCTCTATAAATGTCTTTCCAAGCAAAATTTCTCTCCTGACTTCAAAGCTTTGCAGGGATTCTCTTGACCTAAACAATAAATGGCTAACAATCAGTGTTGACTGTTTCCTAGCAACAAATTAAATGTTAGTATATTCTTGATATTCACATGGCGTCCTCACTTTAAAAAACTCTTTATTAAGGTCAAGGTTAACACTCCAGAAATGACAGAGATCCCTAGTCACAGTTAGGAGATATTCCTGTAAATGTCATCAGATAAGTTGTGGGAAATAGGAGCTATTTATGATCTTGCTCACAGCATCTTCTCATATGGAATTATTTGTATATAACCATAGTAAAATCATGGCAGCTTTTTCTTAGGGCCACCCTAGCCAACAAGTGCCAAATACTAATATAGCATTTGGTGTAGGGCCAAATGCTAATTGCTCTGTGTTAGATCTTTCTAAATAGGGAACAGTCCATATGGTGAGACAAAGCAATGTAAATTCTAATTGGAAATAAAGGCTTCAAAAAGAAAACTAAAAACTGGTATCCCACAGGTAAAATCTATTTGTGTTCTAAAACATCTTTTGTTAGGTCTAGCACAGACTTCCTTCTGGGGTCTATCTTTAGTCCATTACTTCCTCAATTTCAATGCAACTGAATGACAATGCATTGAAAACAACCTACAATTTCTGGTGCCCCTACATAAAGTGAGAACAAACAACTTGATTTTTATAATAGAAACAATACTTTCTTGTTCCTAAGTAATGAATCAAAAGAAGTATTACAAAAAAATCCATTGTGTATGTCTACTCTTTGATGAACCGTGTATAGAAAATGTTTTTAACTGATCATGCTCATATGCATTCAAGCCCATTCAACTAGAACTAATGTTACTGGCCAAGAACTGCCAAAGATGAAAATAAGCACTGTGTTTATCACAATTAAAAACTACAGAAGGCTTGCATAGATAATCCTAAAGAATAAAATAATACTGGTGGGGGTAAGATGTAACATATACTTTTCCATATCTAAAGGAAGCTCCAAAGAAAGTGAAGATGAAAATAAAGAGAATAATTTCTAATACATTTAATGTACAAATTCCTATTGAATTTAATGAAACACTCCCACTGACAACTCCTAAATAATGGGAAACATTTAACTGATGAATATTTTATTTTTTATGTACCTTAAGTACTTTATATATCAACTATATTTTTCATATAGCTTATAAACATTTTTTTTTGCTCTAAAAAATCTGGTTACATTTCCCTTAAAAAGCCTCTTTTTTTGTTGTTCTTAAATAACACAGGTGTCAATTGATATTTACCAAAAATAGCCTAAAGATATTTATATCTTATATCCAGCCATTTATTTTTTTTCATTCAACAAGAATACAGTAATCGCTAACAAGTATAGGATCTAGCATAATTATCTTTTAAACCATTATTTCTTCTGTATATTCAGGTAATTCTCAATATGCAATTATTAAATACAGTACTTAAAAAAATAAATCTATAATATGGAATATGTGACATTTATTTTTAATCATTCAAGTCAAACAGTTTTGTATACATAGTTATTAACAATTAGGATTGGTCCTAAAATAGTTTCCTGCTAAAATAATTAATATTCTTGTTTATGGAGTAAAAAAAAAAATCTCTGTATTATTTCTGGCCATTTATTCTAATTATAAAACTATATTACAAAAATAAGTTTCTGGTACTGAAATAGGGAGCTCTGGGGTACTGAAATATACTTCAGATGGTATAAACCAAAGAGGAGATGCCATAAAACAAACAAACAATATACTATGCTTTATTTTGAATTAGGAGGTCAGTTAGCATTTGACTGCTAACTGGAAGGCTGGAGATTCAAACCCACCAGCCGCTTCATGGAAGGAAGATAGGGCAATCCACTTCTGTAAAGATCAACCAACTCAGAAACCCAGTGGGGGTCACTAAGGGTATGGACTCAATGGTAGGGTGTTTGGTTTGAGTTTTTGAAATTATCATGACAAAGTTTCATTAAAGTTTGACAACAACATCTACTTGGAGACATCTTTAGTACAAACATAATGCATGGTTATTAAGTTAAGAGAAATTAATCTCAATTCAAAACATTAAAATTACGCCTCAAAAGGAATACTCACCATATAATGTGATAGTACCTCTTTTGGTGTTTTAATTAGAAAAGTATTGAAAAAGGAATAATTATGGCCCAAGTCAGATATTTATATTAGTTAATGACCATTGTAATGGCCCAAGTCAGATATTTATATTAGTTAATGACCATTGTAACACTCATGACACCTTGCACTTATAAAAGCAAACCCTAAACATCTCAGGGAAAAGACATTTAATATAAAAGACATTACCTTTTATTTCATGTTGACTTGCTTCCCGTCTTCTTTCTAGCTCTTTTCTGTCATAATTCAGCCTTTTTAAGCACATAATTCCATATTGTAAACTTGTTCTATTATTAAAAAAAAATGGGAATAATACATTGAATTTACTTCAGATATAGTATGTTCATGAATTAGCACAGTCAACACTATGTGATGCTTAAGACAATATGTTAATAAACTGTATTTAAAACTAAATCCTTTAGTATTGAGAAGGCTATAGAATTACTATTATTCTAACATATATCTCAATATGAATGTAAAGATTAGAAAAATTATTTTCAGAATAAGAAAAATATAGTCAGAAAATGTTCATGGCCATGTTGTTCATCCATATGTCTTTGTTGTCTATTACTTTCAGACTAATGAATATTTTATATACTTTAAAAGAATTTGGAGTCACTAAGAGCTCTGGTGGCATAGTGCCTAAGGCATTTGACTGCTAACCAGGAGGCTGGTGGTTCAAACCCACCAGCCCACTCCTCAGAAGGAAGAGTGGGCAATCTACTTCCATAGTGATACTGCCTCGGAAACCCAAGGAGGGGTCGCTATGAGTCGAATCTGACTCAATGGCAAAGAGTTTGATTTTCTGGTTAATCATGAGTTGAGGAGCCCTTGTGATGCAGTAGTTAACTGAAAGGTTAAGTGAAAGGTCCATGCTTTGAAAGCACCAGCCACTCCTCAGGAGAAAGATGTGGCAGTCTGTTTCTGTAAAGATTTACAGCCTTGAAAACTCTATGGGGCAGTTCAACCGTGTCTTACGGAGTTTCTATGAATTGGAATCAACTTGTCAAAAATGGGTTTGTTTTTTTCTAAGGTTATACATGAGTTAAAATTGACTACATGACACCAAACAAGTTTACTATGTAGATCTTGTTGGTGCTGTTGTTGTTGTTAGGTGCTTTCAAGTTGGCTGTGACTCATGGTGACTGTATGTACAACAGAACGAAACAATGCCTGGTCTTGCACCATCCTCACAATCTTTCCTATACCTGAGCCTGTCTCTGCAGTTGCTGTGTCAATCCATATTATTAAGGGTCTTCCCCTTTCTCACTGACCCTTAACTTCCCCAGGGAATGGTCCCTTCTGACAACATGACCAAAGAGGTGAGAAGTCTGGCCATTCTTGCTTCCAAGAAGCATTCCAGCTGCACTTTGATCAGGACAGATTTGTTTACTGTTCTGGTAGTCCTCAGTATTTTCAGTATTGTTTGCTAATATCACAACTCAAAACCATCAACTATTCTTTGGTCTTCCTTATTCACTGTCCAGCTTTCACATCCATATGAGGTGATTGAAAATACCATGACTTCAGTTTGACGCACCTTAGTCTTCAAGGAGATATCTTTGCTGTTCAGCACTTGAAAAAGGTTTTTTGCAGCGTATTTGCCCAGTGTAATACATCATATCTGATTTCTTGACTGCTGCTTCCATTGGTGTTGATTGTGGATCCAAGTAAAATGAACTCTTTGATAACTTCAATCTTTTCTCTATTTAATGTGATGCTGCTTATTGGTCTAGTTGTAAAGATTTTTGTTTTCTTTATGTTGAGATGTCATTCACACTGAAGATTGCAATCTTTAATCTTCATCTGGAAATGCTTCAAGTCATCTTCACTCTCAGCAAACAAGGTTGTGTTGTCTCCATGTCACAGACTGCTAATGAGTCTTCCTCCAATCTTGATGCCACATTCTTCTTCATATACCCCAGCTTCTCAGATTATTTGCTCAGCATACAGATTGAATAAGTGTGGTGAAAGGATACAACCCTGACACACTCCCTCCTGATTTTAAACCATGCAGCATCACCTTATTCTGTTCGAACAACAGCCTCCTGGTCTATGTACAAGTTCCTCATGAGCACAATTAAGTATTCTGAAGTCCCATTCTTCTCAATGTTATCCATAGTTTGTTATGATCCACACAGTAGAATGCTTTTGCATAGTCAATAAAACACAAATAAACATCTATCTGGTATTTTTTGCTTTCAACCAAGATCCATCTGTCATCAGCAATGGTATCACTCATTCCACCTCCTCTTCTGAAGTTAACTTGCATTTCTGGCAGTTCCCGGTCAGTATACTGTTGCAGTCATTCTTGAATTATCATCAGCAAAATTTTACTTGCATGTGATATTAATGATATTGTTGGATAATTTCCACATGCTGTGGGATCACTTTTCTTTGCAGGAGTACAAATATGGATCTCTTCCAGTCAGTTAGCCAGGTATCTGTCTTCCAAATTCCTTGGCATAACCAAGTAAGTGCCTCCAGTGTGGCATTTGTATGTTGAAACACCTCAATGGGTATTCCATCAATTCTTCGTGCCTTTTTTTTCCCCCCAGTTCCCTCAGTGAAGCTTCAAATTCTTCCTTCAATACTATTGGTTCTTGATCACATGTCATCACCCAAAATAGATGAACATTGGCGATTTCTTTTTTGTACAGTGACTTGGTGTATTCTTTTCATCTTCTTTTGATGCTTCCTGCATCATTCAGTGCTTTTTCCAATAGAATATTTCAATATTTCAACTCGAGGCTTGACTTATTTCTTCAGTTCTTTAAGCTTGAGAAATGCTGATCATGTTCTTCCCTTTTGGTTTTCTAACTCCAGGTCTTTGCACATTTCATTATAATAATTGACTTTATTTTTTTGAGAGGCTCTTTGAAATCTGTTCAGCTCCTTTATCTTGTCATTTCTTCCATTTGTTTCAGCTACTTCCATTCAAGAGAAAGTTTCAGAGTCTCTTTTGAAATCCATTTTTGTCTTTTCTTCCTTTCCTGTCTTTTTAATGATCTTTTGCTTTCTTCATGGATGATGTTCTTGATGTCATCCCACAATTTGTCTGGTTTTTGTTCATTAGTGTTCAATGTGTCAAATCTATTGTTCAGATGGTCTCTAACTACAGGTGGGATATACTCAAGGTCATATTTTGGCTCTTGCAGACTTGCTTTAATTGTGTTCTGGTTCAACTTGAACTTGCATATGAGCAATTCATGGTCTGTTCTATAGCCAGCTTGGCCTTGTTTTGGCTAAAGATATTGAGCTTCTCCATTCCTCTTTCCACAGATGTAGTTGATTGGATTCCTGTATTCCATCTGGTTTGAGGTCCATGTGTATAGCTGTCATTGATGCTGTTGAAAAAAGGTATTTTCAGTGAATAAGTCATTGGTCTCGCAAAATTCTATCATGCAATCTCTGATGTCCTTTCTATTACCAAGACCATATTTTCCAATTATCTGTGATTCTTCTTTGTTTCCAACTTATGTATTCTAATCACCATCAATACATTTTGATTGCATATTTGGTCAATACTAGACTGTAGAAGTTTGTAAGAATATTCAATTTCCTCATCTTTGGCTTTAGTAGTTGGTGCATAAATTTGAATAATAGTAGTATTAACTGGTCTTCCTCATAGGAATATGAATATATCCCATTACTAACAACTTTATACTTCAAGATAGATCTTGAAACTTTTTTTGTGATGATGAATGCCACACCATTCCTCTTCTATTTGTCATTCTTGGCATAATAGATTATATGATTGTCCAATTCAAAGTGGCCAAAACCACTCCATTTCAGCTCACTAATGCCAAGGATATCAATCTTTATGCATTCCATTTCATTTTTGACAACTTCCAATTTTCCTAGATTCATACTTCATACT